TACGTAAAATGGAGTAAAACCTATACTGTACTGTACAGTATTTGGGTATAGAGTTGAAGCGACCAGTAGTCTTCTTCGCAATACTTATGGCATCAATGTCCCAAGTCGTGTTTATTTATTATGACGATATCTAGAATTCTAGAGCGCGTTTTTTCCCGGCTGAGAAAAGATGCCCCCCCCCCCTCCTCAAGAGTTACAGCTGATTGGTTGTTGCAAACCTGTCCGATTTTATCCTGAGTAATGATGTATTTCTAAATGAGTTTATTCTTAATGGCCTTTTCTGACGAGAAAGATATTTAGCTAAATTATATAAAGATACTTACCTTTATTATTTCAAGCATAAGCACGTAGGAAGTTTATCAGAAGTATTATACAGTCGACCCTCGTTAATTCGGACCCCTTTAATCCGGATTTCGGATAAATCGGACGAAATCTGAACTGTCCATATCAAATTTCTGGTTCTGGGATTGTCCCAGTTGCAATTGGGGTTGCAATTTCAAATTCTGTGTCACTACTAAGAAATAAAGAAGTCTCTGGTGCACTCTAAGATTAAGAGAAAACGGACGACTCAGGCGTCCTGAAGTGAGAGAAAACGGACTCCTATGACGGAGCACTCAAATAAACATACACATAGCTGTATAATGCAATATTATGCAATATTAACCCCTAAATCGGTTAATTCGGACAATCGGCTAAGACGGACACCCTTCCCCCCCTATTAGTCCGTTTAACGAGGGTCGACTGATAAACTCGGGTAACAAATTCACGCTTTCGGAGGATGCATTTAATATATACTTATTTTTACCTACAATAAGACATACTAAGACAAATTACACATCAGTATTAGTACATTATGCAAAAACAACATTTTAAAAGATCAGACACACATTGAAATATTACACGACCGTTAGCAGAGGCGGGAAAATATGACTGCCAACTACTTAATATTTTTCCCGCCTCGCTAACAACACACTCACCTACAGTTGTGAGATGCACACAACACACTCACCTACAGTTGTGAGATGCACACACCACACTCACCTACAGTTGTGAGATGCACACAACACACTCACCTACAGTTGTGAGATGCACACAACACACTCACCTACAGTTGTGAGATGCACACAACACACTCACCTACAGTTGTGAGATGCACACAACACACTCACCTACAGTTGTGAGATGCACACAACACACTCACCTACAGTTGTGAGATGCACACAACACACTCACCTACAGTTGTGAGATGCACACAACACACTCACCTACAGTTGTGAGATGCACACAACACACTCACCTACAGTTGTGAGATGCACACAACACACTCACCTACAGTTGTGAGATGCACAACACACTCACCTACAGTTGTGAGATGCAACACACTCTCACCTACAGTTGTGAGATGCACACAACACACTCACCTACAGATGTGAGACGCACACAACACACTCACCTACAGTTGTGAGATGCACACAACACACTCACCTACAGTTGTGTACAGTACAGTAGTAACTATTCAGTACAGTACAGTAGTAACTATTCAGTACAGTACAGTAGTAGCTATTCAGTACAGTACAGTAGTAGCTATTCAGTACAGTACAGTAGTAGCTATTCAGTACAGTACAGTAGTAGCTATTCAGTAGAGTACAGTAGTAGCTATTCAGTACAGTACAGTAGTAGCTATTCAGTACAGTACAGTACAGTAGTAGATATTCAGTACAGTACAGAAGTAGCTATTCAGTACAGTACAGTAGTAACTATTCAGTACAGTACAGAAGTAGCTATTCAGTACAGTACAGTAGTAGCTATTCAGTACAGTACAGTAGTAGCTATTCAGTACAGTACAGTAGTAGCTATTCAGTACAGTACAGTAGTAACTATTCAGTACAGTACAGTAGTAACTATGCAGTACAGTACAGTAGTAGCTATTCAGTACAGTACAGTAGTAGCTATTCAGTACAGTACAGTAGTAGCTATTCAGTACAGTACAGTAGTAGCTATTCAGTACAGTACAGAAGTAGCTATTCAGTACAGTACAGTAGTAGCTATTCAGTACAGTACAGTAGTAGCTATTCAATACAGTCCAGTAGTAGCTATTCAGTACAGTACAGTAGTAACTATTCAGTACAGTACAGTAGTAGCTATTCAGTACAGTACAGTAGTAGCTATTCAGTACAGTACAGTAGTAGCTATTCAGTACAGTACAGTAGTAACTATTCAGTACAGTACAGTAGTAGCTATTCAGTACAGTACAGTAGTAGCTATTCAGTACAGTACAGTAGTAACTATTCAGTACAGTAAAGTAGTAGCTATTCAGTACAGTACAGTAGTAGCTATTCAGTACAGTACAGTAGTAGCTATTCAGTACAGTACAGTAGTAGCTATTCAGTACAGTACAGTAGTAGCTATTCAGTACAGTACAGTAGTAACTATTCAGTACACTACAGTAGTAACTATTCAGTACAGTACAGTAGTAGCTATTCAGTACAGTACAGAAGTA